AAAATCCTTACATAAACCAGAAGGAAAAATTGCTAAAAAGAACGTCTGCTCCTTTTCTGTACATATTCTGTACAGAAGTGTTTCCCTAGCATTCATATGACAATTGGAAATATCGGCCTTGCTATCCCGCTCCCAAGCTGCGATGTGCTCTGCGTGACTGGGTGCGCTGGCGCGCGTCCCTCCGCTCACAGGAGACACGAAAGCTGCTCACAGCAACATTGTCCCTCCTTTCTGGGAACACTAACACCAGTGCTGAAGGAAACACTCATCAAATATTGCAACAGCAAAAACCTCACGTTTTTATCATCAGTTGAACTAAACGGAGTCTGATTCTTTCCCACTCTTTAGTATTCCCCTCATCAGCTAATTGTGCTCATGACATTCTTTGAAAAACCAGAACAACTTTAGGTAACGGAGAGATTCACATCACAAACTGAAGGAAACTCTTAGCTTACCAATTATTTGAGAAATAATTGCACAAGAGTTAGACCATAATGCCAAGTAAACAAAATACTACCCTCGAGAGTGTAAATCAGGAATTCAAACACCAGCCTAGCATCCAGCATTTGACATGTGTCAGTGAGAGGATCATCTCAAATTCTCCTCCTTTTTGATAAGCTGGTAATTCTTTAAGTGACTCCTGAAACCAGAAGCCATTTACATATCTGGAAACGAGGTTATTCTTCAAGGATACAACCGAGTTGTAATAGCAGAGCAACGTTGATTAAATAATTATCCCAAGTCATTCAACTAAATGTGTACTGATGTGTCTGAAATCACAGCACAACACCTGTTAAGATTTTTTTTTTTTAAAGTTAGGTCAAAATTTTTCTTCTATTTTCAAACATGAACCAACACTTAGAAGACAGAAAGTTTAAACTTCATTATGTTAATTTCCTCTAATAACAGGACTCCTTCAAAACGCCCTCAAATTGATTTCTAATAGCTGTTAATTCCAGGAAAGAAAACAGGCAACTACTCATGCCCTTTTGACACTTTGATTAGTGCCAACTTACACAGGGGACCTAATTAAATGCCCTGGGGTGGGGTGGGCAGGGGACAGCCGAGGCCTGCGGTGAAGGACACAGTCCCTGCACTGCAGCGGCCTCCTCCTCTTCCTCCCCAGGGCAGGGCAGTGTCTGCAG